GCCTTTCTTTATGTGAATGAAATCCTCTTCCTCGAACTTCAACATTGTGGAAATCAATCTTACGTCCGTTGTCTATCGTATGCATTGCTATAGCCGATCTATTTTCTAGACTTTTTAATTCTACTTCATTTTTAGGTGAACGTTTCGTGCATAGTCTATGTTCATTCACTCTGACCTTCACCTGTCTACTGCTCTCCCCTATATAACAAGCTTCACATTCTGAACACTTTATCCTATAAACACAATTACTTTGTGGCATTTTGGGAACCATATCTTTGACATTCACTAGAGCTTCCTCTAGAGAATTAGAGGGCTTGAAATAGACTTTAACATTATATTAAGCAAGTAGTCTTTGAGGTTATTCAGCTGTCTCCTTTTATTTATAGTGACTGTCGTTGATAGCCAGAGTTTTTCAGTTTTCTTCCCCCTCTCACACTTTTTATTGATAGTATTACATTATTTTTGTGCTTAATAGCTAAATAGTGTTGTACTAAGGTGGGAATACTGCCGTTCTCTCCTACTGAACAGATATTTTCTTTTGCTGACACCAATTTATATATATATATATATGTAGTTAATGTTTAAACAAATCACTTTAATGTACACAAATCATGGCTTACTATCCGGTTCGCCAAGGCCTCTGCAACACAAAGTATACAGAAGCTTACCATTTTCGGGAGGCTTCTTTTGACTTTGTAGATGACTTTGAATGAATTCTCCTTACATATTGAGTGACCAATGTTGAATATATGTTCAATTATAGCCCTCCTTATTGATCCAATGTTACCTTCTCGTAGCCAAGCGGGATAATGTTCTCTGAGTCTTTAAGATAAAAAGTGCATCGAACGACATCAATATCTCACTCCACATGAGCAAGTAAATTGGTAGACACACATAGAAGTGGTCAAATGGGATAGTTTATCTTTGGAGTTGTTGATGAACAACGGGAGGCTTGAGAATTCCAATTGTAATGTCGCAGCAGAGAGTGTTATTTTCAGGTCGTTAGATATTCTTCCTTGTAATATGTCTGCCAGAAGGTCGCCTTTGTTCTTTGATAAACATATAAAGCTGAAAATCAACAAAGAATAACCCATCTCTGTGCCGAAGAAGATGCTATACGTGGATGTGGAGTTCAAATTTAACCTTCTGGCCGACATCTTAAAGAGAAGAGCATCTTACGCCCTGGAAAGAACATTCTCTGCTGCTACATTACAATTGGTATTCTCAAGCCGCCCATTGTTCTTCAACAACTCCAAAGATAAGCTATTGCATTTGACCACTTCTATGTATGTCTACCAATTTACTTGCTCATGTGGAGTGAGATATATAGGTCGTTCGATGCATGTTTTATCTAAAAGAGTCAGAGAATATTATCCCGCTTGGCTACGAAAAGGTAACAGTGGATCAATAGGGAGTGCTATAATTGAACATATACTCAACATCGGTTACGCAATATGTAGGGAGAATTTATTAAAAATCATTTTTACATACATATGGTTATCTCTAAATTTCAAGAACGAAAAAGACTAACATGAGTTTCATTCCTGAATGTGGCAGGTACAATTAGTTGCTAGAATTACATCATTCACTTATTAATAGGTAGGAAAATGATACACCAAGATAACTACTCATTATCTGTGCTAAGTCACTGTTGATACCTTCTAGACAGAAAGAGAGAAAAACGTTTTTTTGAAAAGGCAGGTCACGTCCATCGTTTCAGCTACAAGCGACAGTGTGGATGAGAGAGTCGAAACTAGAATCGGAGAGGTAAAACAGATTTTCATCACTCTGAATTCAGTCTGTAAATCTGCTGTACTCAGTCACCATGAACAAAACAATGTGGATTTTCAACGTTGATTTTAATTAAATCCTTCAATGTGGGTCACGAAAAGCATTTCAAACAGGCCACTGGAGACTTTCATCCAAAGTTGCCTTTGCTTTCTTTTTACTGAAAACCAGATAACCAGAAATAGTTAACGACAAGGAACTCTGGGAATAAACAAAGCAAGAGCCTTTTGCCTGAAAATATACCGAAGAAAGTGGAGGTGCACTGGACACACTCTCTGGAGACCGATGGATGACATCGCACGCCAGGTCACCACCATTCGAGTTGAACCCGATTGGGAAATGATGACCTGCTTGTAGGTCTAAGTGTGACACAGAGCAGGTAGCATCAGAAAGAGATGAAACCTTATGGGCAATCGTTGGACCAGCCAGAGAGGACTGTAGAGAACAGGAAAAACAATAGAGGTGTATTGTTGAAGCTATGTGTTCCACTCGGGACCCAAGGAAATAATCATTATATATAGGCAACATAATGCCACTTTATTAGAAACAGTATTTTTGAGACTGAAATAAAAAGCTAAGAGAATAGAAAATCCCTATGCTGCCTACGAATTAAGTTAGTAGTTGGCCTCCATTTTTGAAGTAAGGTCATCTAGCCGCAAACGTCGTCAGTGTTTTGGTTGCAAAGTGAGTGATAGGTTTAAGGTGAAACAACTGACTGAATCTATTTAATTTACCATGATGAAAACTTTGGACAGAGAAGAAAGAAGGAATTCCTACATGTAGCCATACGAAAACCTTAAATAGTTTAACTAGATACTAGACATTAGATGGTTGGAGACCATCGTGAAGGTGCCCCGAACCTTCACCGGTTATCAAGACGTATCTTCGATCTTGAAGGAACTCATGTCCATTCCTAGGTTCAAACCCATGTCATCCAGTGGTACAATCAGGAACGTTACCACTGAGCTATTCGGCCTCGTGACTAACCTTGTGTAAGACTGTGATGGATACTTTAACTGTTCACTAGATATTGACCACTGTCTAGAGCAGACTGAATTCTACCTAGGTCCATGGTTTATTGCTTATTACCTCCAACCGTCTATAACATTATTTCAGAATACACCGTGATGGTAAGTCAACTAGCATGATGTCCACATTGCAAACTTGACTGATAGAACTCAAAACAAGGAATTGACGCATGATATCGCTTACTATCTAGTGGCCAATCAAAGTAACAGTGTTTTGTTTAATGTTCTCTTATTCATATCTAATAAAATAAGTGAGAATGATGAAATGTTAACCAAAGAACTAACTGCAGATCCTGAAATCACACAAAGGACAAAGCTGCCCATTGAAGAAATTATTTTAGGAATTCAGTTATGCCTCACATCTACTATCTTTAAATTCCAAGGCAAACTGCATAGACAAACAGAAGGTGTAGCAATGGGATCACCAATATCCCCTATCGTAGCAGACATATTTATGGACAGCTGGGAAAATAATGCTCTTAATACATTTAATCTCTAGCTTCTTGACACACATAAACTCACTAGTAGAGGGAATAAAGTTCACATTTCAATCAGAAAATGAACAAGAGGAATTAGCTATGTTAGACTGTAAACTCAAACGAATAGAAGAAGGTAAGGTGCACACTGATGTTTATAAAAAACCAACGCATTCTAATAAATATTTAGAATTTAATTAGTCTCAACCGCGATTAACTGTTAAGCCTGTCTTAGTTAAGTGTCTAACAAACCGAGCAATAGCACTACGTAATACATCAAAAAGCCGAAATGATGAAATCAAACAGATAGAAGAAGCGTTGGTATCAAATAACTATCCTTTAAAATTCATTAGGAAGATCAGTAAAGACCAAAAGCAAAATAAAAATAATGACGAAACTAATAATGATAGCATAAAAAAGAGAGAATATAAGGCATCTACCGTGGCTTCATCATATAAGGAGGGGACACCTGAAACGCTCTCAACGAGGAATCTTTAATAAAGCAGGAATTGGGGTGGTATTTAAAGCTACAAACTCACCCAGGGACAAGCTCTGTAGGTTAAAGGACCCTGCTGATCCAAATAAACAAAATAATATAATTTAAAAATACCTTGCAATGACTGTGAGTGAGATCAAATACATAGGTTAAACTAGTAGGTCGAAGGTAGTCAGATTTTCAGAACATAAGAATTTAGCTATGGTTAGAATGGTTGACCCCGAAAAGATAAATAATTTAGAAAAAAGTTCAGCGATCTCACTTCACGCGTTAACACACAGCCACACAATAGAGTGGGAGAAGGTTAAAATTCTAAAGGTAATCTAGGTAGGTGGAGAAAGAGATTGATTACTTAATCCTGCCTGGTTCATCGAGTCTCCACTCAGCACATGCAACAGAAATGTCTTTTTCTTTTTTCCTTCACGTTCCCCAGTGGAACATAGGGCTTCAAGCTAGTGGCTTGAAGTTTCTGTAGCAGTGTTTATTTTACAGGATGGGGTTGCTAGCCTCATGCCCAACCTTTACTCTTCACCAACATTAATTCTGGCTTAGCGAGGTAAAGGAGTGCGTCGGCCGGGGATCGAACCCCGGACCATGTGCATGGTCGGCGAGCGTCCTAACCGCTATGCCACCGAAATGACTCAATGCAAATACCAGAAATATGGAAGATTTTATTACCACCAGTCAGTCAAATCAGATGAGGATAATAAATAATCTTAAAATTCTATTTCAATTCAAGCACATCATAACATTCTAACAAGTTACTTATATTTACTTTGAAAACATCTTATTTCCCATCTGATTTTATTTGATTGATAACACTCGTACTATTATTTCTGAATGTACATTATCTCATATTGAATTTTATTCCAATATCTAATCGATTCCACACATGTATATAAATGAAGGAAAAAAGTTGTATGAGTAACTTGATATGATGATGAGTGGCAATAGTTTGTTCTCCAAACTTCATCATTCAGTATTGCTGCATAACACTGTGTGATGTATCAAAATAAAATCTTATCCATAATGGAGTTATACTCTACCAGCACACTGCCCGAGTTTTATACTTATATCAATAATGAAATGTTTGAACTCATTTTTTTTATATCTTTAGACGTCCACTAATTGATGTCTACGTCAGTCTAGAACACCTACTGAATTTTCAGCTAACTCAAACTCTGACAGTTTTCCCTTTTTTGCTTTAAAATAATGTCACTGGATGATATAATCTTGGATCATGAATCGAATCAATGTCTTTTCGTATGCGCTAAATGTGGAGCAGAATATGTGACACGAGATATGCTGGCTATGCATATGATGGACAGTGCCCGCGCTGGAATGTGTATAGAGACAGACACAGTGAGTAGCATACGAAATATAAATAACAATAATAATCAACTCCAACCACAAAATATCTACCAATGAGGAATCAGTTGTATCAGAGCAATCCACTGCACCGAAACTAAACCAGTCACCGAATATTTTTGAATATTCACAGCCATGTGCATCCCTACCGAACTGGATTGGTGAAAGGACAGAGCCAATATTCAATATGTTATTTAACCAGCTCACGCTGCCGCATATATACTCTTTGCAGAATGCAACAGTGAATGCTAATACCAATACTATTAACAATAATAATAATAGCATGCACAGTAACAATTTTATGTCTTTAAATCATAAAATATTTTCAGCTATCGAAGAAAGTCTACCGCCGTTTCGAGGATTTCGAAATGCTTCCTCGTCATCAACATCATCATCGATAACAGATGTACAAAAAGACGAAGACGGGATACAATCTCTGCTGATGAATTCTAAATATCAAACAAATAATAATAATTTAGCCAAAAATGTAAAAATGAATTTTATTCATTCATTGAAAGTGAATAAAAGTGATATGTTTACTACACTGGCGACGAAAGATAAAATAAGAATGTCCAGTGGGAAGTTTAACTCAAATTTGAGTGAATATAAAGGAAGATTGAAAAATATTTCCAGTGATATGAGTTGTAGTCAAAGATGTACATCACCAGCATATCCACTGATTAAATCTTTAGGTAACCAAGGTAGTAGTTCATCAACTTCAGTGTGTGCTATTGCAAAATCATTCAACTCTCCACCCGACACCGTTAAATCAACTAATATAAACTCAAAGTGTACAAATACACTTCAAAATAAGTCACAGACAGCAGTAGATAGAGCAACAAATAATCAAGAAGGTTTTAAAATCACATGCGCAGATGCACAAATGAAAGTCTGTGACACTGCTAAATCTTTAAAACCTTATACGAAATGTAAGGATGCTAAGAATGTGAAGGCTATAAAAAGAAGTCGATCTTTGCCATCACCTCGTACTCTGTGGAATCAACAAATGTGTTCTGAGCCAATACCTGCACATGTGAATGAAAATAATATTTTGGAGAAGACCGGTGATCTGAGCACTTGTGATGAAATTCTGCATAAGGTGAGATTTAAATAATTGTGAACAACAAAATATATATACGATAATTGGGTTGTTTAATTGTTTGAAATAATCTTAACTGAAGTTAGAGAACCACCAGAAAACCTCGGAGTAAGCGACAGTTAGCTGTTTCGTCCTATCATGGGACTCTCCGGTAGTACGCACCATCAGAGTCCGGATCCAAGACCTTCCGGTTACGAGGCGAGCTCGTAGGCCATTCAGCCACTGTGATCCTGTCCAATGGCCCATGAATTCCAACTTCTACCGATCCGTGCGTCGGTGGCACAGTGGTTAGGACTCTCGCCGACCATGCACACAGTCCGGGGTTCGATACCCTGCCGACGCACACCTGATATCTATGGTAAGCCTGCAAAATTCGGAATACTGATATCACATGCTGAAATTCCATACCTATATCTAATTAGCTCACTAGATCACTGTCCCGATACAAGAAGTTACCTGGTGCTCCAATGAGAAGTCATAAGCACTGGAGCCCCCCAAGTCAGGTTAGAGATCAGTTACTCACCTGTGATATTAGCTGCTGATTCCGCTTTATATATATCATGAATCGCCAGAAGCCGGAATTCATGGTCTGCCAGTGTCTGAAAGGCCCACGAGCTCGTCCTGTAACGGGTAGGCCCTCGGTTCTAACCCAGATGAATGCGTACTGATGAAGAGTCCCAAACTGGGATGAAACAGCTGTTCAGTACTCCAAGCTGGTTTTCCAGTGGTTCTGTAACTAGCGTCAGCTCGTGATAAATCCTGTAACCAATCAAATCCCTGCAAACCAACAGACGACAATCTTTACTTTGAAGTTTAGGTTAATTGTAAGAAGATGATAGTTGCAACTTAAACAAAAGCCTCTGCTGCAACAGTTTTAAATGATGTCTATAAACTCCCGCGTCCAGTCGGTCGGACATCTGACTCAAAATTAATCATAATATAAATTCCTGTTCTGGTCACCTTCCTGCCACATTTGACCTTAATAACATAGCCAAATTCTTAATTATGAAAACCTTAACACTTAATGAAACACATATGAAGTCACTGTCTCTTAAGGCAGAGGAAACATTTGTAGAGTTTTGAAGTTTTAGTACCACTCATGTTGCTTTTATGAAGTGGAGTTGCTAGCCTCATAGCCAACCTTCCCTCTTTACCGGACTTATTACCGGTGAGGCGAGGTTTTGCAGTGCATCGGTAGGGAATTGGATCCGTACCACATACGTGTCTGGATGACATCCCCTGAACCAACTATTTTAAAAAACAGGAATGTCAAAATGTGACATAAATTCCTTATAATTAAGATAAAAGCTACAAGTATCTAATCTGAATATTGGTGTTTGAATTAATTTCGAACCTTGATAATTTTGTCTGATTGATGCGGGAAATTGATAACTGCTCAAATTAAAAAGAACAAACGAATAAATAGTATGATTTCAGGTCGATAGCAGCATAAATAGACGATTTATGGAATAATAAAAATAATAAGATTAAAAACTATGTAGCTGGGACTTATGGTCGTATGATAAATTCATTATATGAGAATCGATGGGAGCCCAGAGTTGCGTTTTCGTTCAATTTACCGCAGTTAAAGTATTACGTACTTAAAATTTTGTTTATTTTAAATTTAGAAAGGGATCTTTATTGATCTGCATCCTAAGCTGGACCGCGGTTTACCTATGATAGTGTCGCTAGCCATTAATGTGACTAATACAACTAGTATTGTCCTTAAAAACGTGTGCGTTATTTTCAATAAATCGTTTTCCAGTAACATTGTGCCTGCCTCTTGGAAAGACATTAAAATTCTTCCTGTGCCTAAATCATCAAGTGGCCCGAGTGTTAGGCTTAAACCTATTGCCATTACCTCACCTTTTTCTAGAAATAATGGAAAAGTGGGGCTACTTAACCTATAACCTTTAACACTGAAGGCTTTTAATAACCCTAATCAATTTGCTTATAAACATAGGAAGCGTACCTTAGATGTCACTGTCGTCTTACATCATAATATTGTTTCTTATTTAGAGAGAGACGCCAAATATGTTCGGTGTGAATTCCTAGATTTCACATCTGTTTTGGACCTTGTACCGAGGCCTCTTTTGTTAAACAAGCTTGCTGCGCCACATACAAGGTGCTGAACTAATAAGTGGTCGCATTCCGACAGAAAGTAGTAAACTGTTTACAATGGGAAGTCCTCCAATGCTTCACTTACTCTACTTGATGTTCCTCAAGGAGCTGTTCTTTCTCCCTTTTCTGCTTGCTTTTTTCTTACATGCCCACCCCCATTCCGACGAAGCCAATTTTGTTAAGTATGCCGATGATCTGATTGTTTCTGTGTCCTTTGCTTCTCAGTCAGACTGTTTCACAACGACTAACTTATTAGAAATTAGTCAGTGATCCTCGTCAGATGATCTTGTGCTAAATACCTCCAAATGTCAGGCTGTTAATTTCGCTTTCAGATGCAAAGGTAACTTGCATGGACTGGTTAGTTCGCATGGTTCCATTATCATAGATGACACAGGAGTTGAAACGAAACAGAATGTTAAATACCTTGAAACCATGTATTTCCTCTGATCTTTCCTGGTCTTCCCATATCATGTTAGTTTCCAGAAAGATATTTCGTTTAATGTTCTGCGTTAGGAAGTTAAGACAATCTGGTATCACTCAGTCTCTACTTCTAAGTTTGTTAATTTCTTGTATTCTGCCTATTCTTCTTTATTGCTCCCTCTCACTAAAAGAAAATTAATCTTTACTGGTCTACTAAAGAAAGAATTTATTACACTGTGAAGGGCACTAAAAGTAGTCAGTAGGGAGAGTGGGATGTCGCTTAACCAACTTGTTAATACTATTGTAGATAGAAACTTGAGCTCATGCAAGAAAATGGCACATATGACAGTAATAATAACTTCTTTATTCTGGACAGTATTTATAAAATGCACAGAATTTTCAAAGGAGTCTATTTCATGACCTTTTCCCTTCATACAATCATCATCTTCAAGTAAAATATTAACTGACAACATATCCTTCCTGTGACACAGTGCTCTCTGAGCTGAAGCACAAACCATTCCATTATGATATATCTGCTTTGTCTCCTTCAAGAAATCCACGATATCTAGTTGAAAGCCGATTGTAAGATGTTCAAAAGTACATTTTGAGACCCGAAGACATAACTGAAGAACAGTTATCTCATATTGTATTGGAACATGTTACCAACTACAATCAGGCCTCTTTCCTCAAGTTTAGTAGGAACTTGTGAAACAAAAGCTTGTAAACGTTTTAAATATACACAGGAGTGCATAATACCATTAGAAGTCACAACTCAATCGATTTAAACAAACCGAACGAGAGAAAATACATGCAACAAAGAGATGGAAGTTTTCGGTAGCCCAAGTTTCAAGCAGGCCTCCGTCAAACTCTGAGCATCCTCTCTATATACAACTCTGTTCTTACATCTCATCAGGTGAAACTAGAAGCAACTATAGAAGACTTTATACTTGGAAGACTAAGTACAAAAACTCTACAACAACTTTATCTGGCACATATTTTATGTGGTGAGAATAGTGCAAAACAGGACACTATCAACTTACTGCAGAACTCTAAGTAAACGGCCCCATTGTTTTTCATTGCTACATTGTTGTTAATATTTTTACTTCATTTAATTTTATTTTCATATTCAAGTGTTGGCTTGTAGGGGTTTGATGGATTGGTTACGGGATTTCATCATGAGCTGCCAACGGTTAGAGAAAAATTGGAAAACCTGTAGGGAGTACTGGACAGCCAGCTCTTTCGTCCTAGTTTAAGACTGTTCATCACTACTCACCCACCACCAGGATTCGAACCCAGGACCTTCTGGTTACACGGCTAGTGAGCTCGTAGACCATTAAGCCACTGGGATCCTATCCAATGGCCAGTCCATGCATTCCAACTTCTGCCAATTCACGACACAGCGCGACCACTAGCCAATGTCTTCATATTCTTATTAAACAGTATTATCAATGTAAATGCCCTGTTTCAATTATTACCCCTGTAAATAAGACAGTTAGATGTGATACTCTACTACATGCTGGAAATTCCATATTTGCACTAAAATTACTGTTTGCAATAAAGCTGTTATTATTATATATGTCCAAACGAAGTTCACTTTTAACAAATTGAACAAATTTGGGCATTGGGTATATGATATTCATTATAATAAAGGTTTTTGTATTTCCCAACGAATGAAAAACAAAACAATATTTCTGTTTTTACTGACGTTTCTCTGTCTAATGCTGCTGCTAAAAGCTTTATAAAAGTATTATTAATCCGGAATTAACAAAATCTCAGCATATATATTACAAAGAGATAAGGGGTGAGAAAATAGACTTAGGTCAAGTTAAAGGGACATATTGAAAGTCAAAATAACAATGAAGGTCACTAAACCAATTAACAAATGTAATAGTACATCTGTTATGATATCAAAATAAAGTTTACTAACTTGATCATCGTTCGTCAGTCTGGGGTCATTTTTGCGTTGTCAAGTTGGTCAACTGGTAAAGATTACGAAACCAAGTGTAGATTGCTGGATTTGATCAGTGTGCAAAATTATAAAAGCAGTGTGTGTTTGCATAGTGACCTTGCTTATCACATTCGTGTTGATTTTATCACTTCATGGGGGAGGGAGGTGTTGTAACCAGGTCAGATTCTGTTTTAGTCCATCACTCCTATTCAGGCGATTCGGATTCCACTTGATATGAAGTGCTTCTGATATTAGATGTTCTTTGTGATTTCTGAAGTTTTTCTGGATTATTTCAAAATTGTCAAAATCAATTTTGTGACCTGATTCTATAGCATAGCTGATGATTTTTCAAATTTTTCTAATTCAACTGGATTTCTCGGTGGTCGAAGAGATGCTCTACGGTGTTCATTTCTTCCGATCTTGATTCCTCTCTGGCGATATTTGTCCGATGTATATCGCATCACATTCCAAGCATATTATTTTGTAGACACAATTAGATAGAGAATCTTTCGGGATTTGATCTTTTATATGGACAAGGTTGTTTCGCAGTGTGTCTGATGTTTTGAAGAAAACTCTAATGTCGAGCTCATTGAGTACTCTTCTGATATCATTTGACGTCTCTGCTCTCTATGGAATGACGACTGTTGAGGTCCATGTTTTCGGAATGCGTTTCCAACCATACTTAATGTCTGTGTTGATTTTGTTGATGAATTCCCTTGGGTAGTTGTTTTGCTTGAGAGTTTCAGCAATGTTTGATATTTCTTCTTCTTTTTCTGTCTCATCCGTTATCAGAGAGCCTGCTCGTCTAAGAAGACTTGAAACAACTGAAATCTTTGCACTGATGGGGTGTGATGATTTGAAGTCTGAAACTTTATTGGAGTGGGTTTTCTTCCTGAATATAGATATACTAACATGTTCGTTTTCCCTTCTCTTAACTAGGCAGTCTAGAAATGGTAGCTCACCGACGTCTGATTCTGCTTCCGAAGTGAACTGGATTCTGGGAGATACACCGTTTATTTTCTCCAGGAATGGATTGTGTAAATTTCGTTTTAGTACTACAAAAGTATCATCTACATATCTTAACCACATTTTAGGAGTGAGTATGCTTGAAAAAATGTTACTTTCGAATCTATTCATGAAAAGGTCGGCGATTATTGGGAAGACTGGTGAACCCATAGCAACACCATTTGTCTGTTTATATAAACTCCCTTTAAAAGTGCAAAATAATTACTTTCTAGACAGAATTTCCAGCTCTTAATTATCTCACTGGTGTCCAGTGGACATCTTTGTGATAGCGTTGTATCTGATTCTAGTAGACTGGAAATGATATCAAGACTTTCGGTAATAGGGATACTAGTATATAATGAGTTAATATCATAGCTTACTATAATGATACTTTGATAAAGCTATTAGAATTAAATAGCGAAACGTCAGCAAAAACAATATCGTTTTGCTTTTCATTCATTGGGAAATACAAAAATCTTCACTATTATTATGATTAAAAAAACTCCTGCACTAGTTAAGACTAACCAATTTGCCTCAACTAAATCTCCGTTTGATTTCAATTTGAAAGTATTTTTTCTCATTTAACTGCCTCTGTGTGTTTTAAAATCTTTTTTTTAACAGACTCGACGTGATCGTAAATGTTACAAGAGGTCAGGGTATAAAAATCTACGCAAATTGGTGAATTATAATCGATCAAAGTTCAAGGTGGCTCAAAATTCGCATATCATATCTCCTCAAATAACAAATTGTTATAACCCTGATAAAACAGATGGACATTCAGCGAACTGCCATGATGAAGAGGCTGTTCCATTGGATGTTCAACATGACAATAATAAACAGGTGACCAGCTTAGATGAAGGAAATAATCAAAAGATAAAAATGATTGGCAATGCTCAACTCACTTTTCCATATATCTGTGATTATTGTCAAATAGGATTTGTTCAACAAGCTTTATACTGTTTACACATGGGAATGCATTGTGTGAATAACCCGTTGAAATGTAATATGTGTGCACGTAACTGTTTAGATGTTTATGACTTTTTTAGTCATACTCTACACTTTTGTTGAGTGAATTGTAAAGCTTTAGCTAATCTCTAGCATATCAAAGCAATAAAGAATTTATCATTTTACTACGGTTTTCTCTTCGTGTGTGTTTGATTTGAAAGTGAATATATCAAGATGCTTCACTCTCAAGCCATCAGAAATGTCATTGTCAAGCAAAGAAGATTTGTAGCTCAGGTGAATGGTTTTGATTTGATTGCGTTCTATGAGGTGGTCGATTTCACCGCGAAGCTTCCCTCGTCCTTTTATACAACATCCCTACAGTACAAGCTTTAATAAGAAGTGAAATTATCTGAATTCCTCCTCCATGCATGATATAACTGTATCTCCTGACAACCATTGTTGTGATTGATTGGTAATTTTGACCATTTCTAATGACTTGGAATTTGAACTTTTCTGTCATGTGATGATATATGTCTGATTTCCCACAAACCGGAAGATATGTAAATGAAAAGCAACAAGTTGGCAGAAGAAGCATCAAAGATAGGACCTCAGGTGAACATAGAGAAAACAGAGGTGATGAAGATTCCTGGGCAACACCATCAACAGCAACAACAACAACAGACAACAATCAGCATAAATGGCAGGAACCTGAAAGAAACAACCTCCTTTACCTACCTGGGAAGCATCGTTTCAATTACAGGCGAACGGAACTGACGAGGATATCAAAGCAAGACAAGCTTTCACTACTCTCAAGTCTGTGTGGAGGTCAGCAGCACTCAGCATGAAAAATAATATCTGGATTTTCAACTCCAATGTGAAGTCAGTCAGTGCTACCATACGGATCAGAGACTTGCAGTGCGCGACATGAAGAGCATCTCAAACAAACTACAGACCTTCATTAACAGCTGTCTTCGCTGAATACTCAAGATCAGATGGCTGACCTGAAAAGATCAGCAACAGAGATCTCTGGGAGCAAACCAACCATGAACCGATTGTGAAACAAATCTGCAGGAAGAAATGGAGATGGACTGGCCATACTCTGAGGAAACCATCAAGTGTCATCACTAGACAAGCCCTTTAGTGGAACCCGAAAGGGAAGCGGTAAGTCGGTCGTCCAAGATTGACTTGGAGGAGGTCATGTGAAGAGGAGGTGAAAACGTGTGGGCAGACTTGGAGCCAGGTAAAGATTCTAGCAGAGAACCGAACGCAATGGAGACGCACGGCTGAAGCTCTATGTTCCTCTAGGAATTAAAGGAAACAATAGTAATACTAATATAAATTTGATCCATAGTAATGTGTTTGTTAATCGCTGTATCATCCGAGTATCAGGCTTCGTGTAATTCCCTGGCATTTTTGAGGTATCCTGTGTTTAAAATTTCTACATTTTCCCAATCAAATTGGTGTCCGTAACTATCTACATGCATCGACATGAAAGAATGCATATCGTGCTTTTTCACAGCTAATTTATATTCTTGGATGCCAAGTCGAATGGGACGCTTATATTGAACAGTCCAGTGTTTATCACAGTTTGTGCATTTCATTTTGTATACGGTATTGATCTTGTCTTCATTTTGATGTTAGAATTTTTGGTCTAAACAATATCGAATGAAGTGATTGTGTTGGTTGGCTTGTCTATTATGTCTATTTCAAATGGTTTTAGTATTCTAGCCATTATTTCAGAAATATCCTTCATATATATGGTAGAATGATTTTTCGACAGAGAAAGAAAGACCAGATTTGCAGTATAAAATGATATCATCATTCTATTTCACAGGTTCCCCTCATCAGCTAACTGCAAACTACCTGAAATTACAATGGTTATTAATAATCACATTTCATACTTCGATGTTTGAAAGGTAATAGAGAAAACATTATAAGATGCACACATCCGGAATATAAGTATTACAAATTTTAGTTTAAGTTATCATCAATTTATATACTATCAAACTATGACAAAAACAGGTGGGTGAGAGAAGACAGAAAACAGAAAAATCTAATAAACAGTGTTAGTTTGTACGTCAACATGGCAACTCAAGAAGGTTAAAGTTCACCAAATTGAAAACGTGCTTAGTGAGCTGAGCTCACAAGTTTGTATGGCTAATCAGTGTAATGAAAGTAATACGGTTACCGAGAGAGTGAGAGATTGACTACACTCTCTTTCTGTGTGCATAAGTTTGATCTGAAACACTTGATTGCAATTGCTTCAGCAAATCGTAGTAAATTCGCTGTCCTTTGTATGTTTAATATTTTAAAGGATTTGGAAATCTCGACGAAATGACTCGTATTCGCAAGGAGCCTGGTAATTACCTTTTGTAAATATCTGCTTCCTTTTAAGCATAAATTTCTTGGAATATGCTCTGAAAACCAGATAGAAGCCCTTGTTTCTGTTCTTCCAATGTACTTGCTGTTGCAGGTGCACGTAAAGTTATTAATGCAGTTGGAAGCAACATCAGCAAGGTACTTAAGTAGTTTCCATTGGCTGAGTTACCATGTTGACGTACAAACTAACACTGTTGATTAGATTTTTCTGTTTTCTCTTACCCCACCCTCTTTTTTCATAGTGTGAAAGCATATAAATTGATGGTGACTTAAACGAAAAATTGTAATGCTTATGTTCACCTTATAATGTTTTCTCTATTACCTTTCAAACATTGAAGTATGAAATGTCATTGTTTATAGGCATTGTAATTTCAGGTAGTTTGCAGTAGCTTATGAGAGCCTGTGAAGAAGAATGATGATATCATCATTTTATACTGCAAATCTGGTCTTTCTTTCTCTATCAAAATTTATCAAGGGAACCAAAATAATGATTTTTCTTTGATTTTTGAGGATTGTTTCTTGTTGGTATTTCTATTTGAGTTTAAACTTTTTCGATGGAGCTGTATGGGTATTCATTCTTCTTGAAGACAGTTAGTAGGTATTTCTCTTCTGCTCTTTTCAGCACTGGAGTGCTGCAGTGCGTTTGAAGCCTTTTAAACAATGTTTGCACGCAGTTTCTTTTGTGAGTCGTTGGGTTATTGTCTTCATAGTTGAGTATTTGATCGGTAGACACTGATTTTCTGTATACTTATTTTCTTTTCCTGTGTTCGTTCTCTTGATCAAGATATCTCAGAAAGTAATTCTGTTGTCTGATTCTTCTTCACTTGTGAATTTAATGTCTTCAAATACATTGTTGATTAATTTGTGGGTATATTCCAAATCATTTCTTTTAATTATTAGGAATGTATCATCGAATTAACGTGCCCTGATTTTTTGTCTGATTATGGGTAGGGTTATTAATTCTAAGTTCTTTAGGTATATTATATGTTAATGTCCCTTGTAGTGAAACGATTGGTCGTAAGGGAGTGTCTGGTTTGTGTAGTTTCAAAGATTGTAAATAAGCCATACTTGTCTTTTCCAGACCTTATGTCACTGTCAGACCCTTGATTACTAAGATTTAATGAGATGTAGACACTAACTTGGTGTTGTACAGTATAAATCAATCTTCTTTCTTTCACCTAATCGTCAAAAACATCTTCTATGATGATAGAGAAGATTTGTAGCTCAGGTGAATGATTTCCAGTTAGTAGTGTTCTCTGAGCTGGTTGGTTTAATTGCGGAGCTTTCGTCGTCCTTCTGGACAACATCTTCAGTTCAAGTGTTGGTTTGTAGGGATTTGATTGGTTACAGGATTTTCATCATGAGCTGACATTAGTTAGAGAACCATTGGAAAACCTACTGGGAGTACTGGACAATCGTTTCGTCCTAGTTTGGGGCTCTTCATAGTACGCACCCACCGGGGTTCGAACCCAGGACCTTCTGGTTACAAGGCTAGCGAGCTCGTAGACCATTAAGCCACTGGGACCCGATCCAATGACCAGGCCATGAATTCTAACTTCTGTCAATTCACGACATAGCGCGACCCATAGCCAATGTCATCGCTGGCGAGTATTTGTCCTCACACCCGACCAGCTGTCCAGTACTCGCAGGTTTTTCAATGGATCTCTAACTAATCTTTAGTTCACTTTCGCTAAAAATTGCGCTGTAGATGTTGTCCAGAAGGACGACGAAAACTCCGCAACTAAACCAACCAGCTGGGAGAACAATACTAATTGCAAATCTTCTATGATGTTTGCAACAGATCCTTTAGCAGCCTTATAGTTATTATAATCTCACTGTAACTGTACTTCTAATGATTTCCATCTTGATATTGGATGGCTGGAGGTAATCGGCAGGAAGCCTTCGACCTAAGTTTTGTGCTAGTTGTCAGCAAGGTGTATCTGCAACCATGAAGGGATTCATGTTCCTTTTGATATTCTAACTGGTGTCCCCCCAGTTCTGCTGCAGTCAGAGCCGTTACCACTGAGCTATTCGGGGGCTCGTGATTGATCTCCTGCGGGACGCCTTGCTGATAAGTGCCAACTAGCACGAAACTTAGGTCAAAGGCTTCCTGCCTTCTACCAACTAATATCAACAGTTCATGGTGCACCGTGGCGGTGAGCCACCTAAAATGCTGGTCATATTGCAAACTTAACTGATAGAATTCAGTCTGCACCAAAGATAGGACTAGATACATTACACTAATTACTAACTAGTGTACAATCTAAGTTTTTCGTCTTACCAATGAATTCTGACCCAAAAAGCAGTTCAAGTCGCCACACTCTATGTAGCGCACAAAGTAAGAGAAGAAAGTAGAAGAAATGCAAAACAGAGACAGTAAACAGGGATATGAGACAAAAGGAACAGTAAAAACGAAGAACAATATAGTTTCATTGGAAATTGTAAGTCACAAGGAGTGGATGCATCTGCGCTGTCATTGAGAACGATTTTGAGCCATATCACAAATTGTCTCCAGCTTGCGTTGGTTTTTACCGTCCCGAGGGCCCCAACCTAGGAAGTCTACACCTTCCTACGTGGCTGGCTGGCTGAAACTAAATATTGTGGATTTCATTGACTGGTGCCATGTTTTGGTTTGACTACCACTGGCCGGCTCTCTTCCAGCCTGACCCTATGTCAGCTAACATTACCCGTCGAGGAAGTCGATGACTAGGCTAGGCATACGTAACACATGTCCAAACCATCTC